CTTTTTTTTTTCAATCCCTTTCTCGGTGATTTCTGCAATTTGGTAAAAAAAAAAAATAAATAAATAAATCATCTGGTGGAGAGAGAGAACAAAAAATAATCACAATTTAAAATTTAATTATTTCTCAACGACAACAACTCAAAATTTTGTTTGTTCGTCTTTTAACTTTAAATTCTTTCTGTTTGAATCCATTTCTTATGTCAGACACATGATCCCCATAATCTTTAGCCACCATTTCCCAACAACTCTTGGAGCCAAATCTGGAATCCTATCCAGAGTTTGGATTGTTTGGTAAAGTATTATTCCTTCTTTTGTTTTCCAAAGAAGAAGCGCTATTAACCACAGGGTGGTGGGTGAACCCGAAGAAAGACGAAGCGAAACCTGAACCAATGACTCGCCACATTAAACCCTGAAAACAATGAGAGAAAAACACGAAGAATTCTTTGCTCTTATACAACATTTACATTTTTTTAAAAACAGCTTTTATTTTTCAAATTGTGCATTTTTTTTTTAAAGTGACAGTTGGGGGAATAAGCTAAAAAAAAAAATCAATATGATAAAAGGAAAAAAAAAAAGGTAATTTATAAATAAAACATAAATTATTGAAACCATATAATTTTAACACTATGGATACAGTGTAGCAGAGCAGATTGGGACGTGTAGATCAATAGACAAAATATTTTCAAGCTTAAATTTTCCTCATGTAAAATATGGTTGCATTAACATTTATTTCAATGCAAATGGTCAGGTCAGCAAATAAATAAATAAAAAAAAAATTATAATAAAAAAAAAACCAATAAAAATAACTAAGAAGGTAAATTGATTTCTTTTTCTTCTTTTCTTTACCTCTTTCCTACTCCCCTGCTTTTTCTCTCTCTCTCTCTCTCTCCCCCCCCCCCACTCTCTCTCTCTCTCTAGCTATCTATTTATCTAAAAATCTCTATAATTTTCTCTATTTCGCTCTCACTCTCTATCGCTCACAATCACCCTTTCTCGTCCTCTCTTTCGTTTTCCCTTCATGTCACGAATGTACGATCGAGTGCTGGTCACTTTTCTCAGATAACATTTGATTGACGGATGTCATGAGCGGAGAATGCAGGTGAAACCCACAACAGACATCACCCGGCAATCCATGACAAGGTCACCGGCAAGCCATGACAAGGTCAAACAAAGTCTTGCAGCTTAAATGTTGAAAACAAGCAATGTCTGAAAAAAACTGGACAGATCAATCCCATATCACTGTATTCAAAACAAATGGATAGATCCATAAATTACACACATGTCAGTTTAAAATGCTGTCTCTTGCATTGTCGCCCATTAAGACAGGGCTTCTAAAGCATGCAAGGGTGCCCGCGACCCCTGGGAGTGCGGGAGCCGGTGGCAGGGGATGAGGCAAGACCCAGAAAATCAGGTTTGATTTGTATCTGAGAGGGGTTGTGGCGCTGAATAAAAAGCGGTTAAGAACCCCTGAAACGAATTTTAAATCGCTGGATCACTCCTAGACGTGAGGTGGTAAGGATGATAGCGAGTGAGATACGGAGGAGAGAAGGCAAGAGAGAGAGAGAGAGAGAGAGAGAGAGAGAGATAATTGAGAGAGAGAAGAGAGAGTTTCACAGAAAGAGAAATGAAAGCAGAGTGAACGATAATGTCAAAGTGTTGTTAGATCAGGAGAATTTTAAATCGCTGGATCACTCTTTGAAGTGAGGTGGTAAGGATGATAGCGAGAGAGATACGGATGAGAGAAGGCAAGAGAGAGAGAGAGAGAGAGAGATAATTGAGAGAGAGAAGAGAGAGTTTCACAGAAAGAGAAATGAAAGCAGAGTGAACGATAATGTCAAAGTGTTGTTAGATCAGGAGAGCATACGCAAGAGCAACTGAGAGATTAAAAAAAAAAAAATATATATATTAAAGGATGAGTGGTTGAATGCAAAGCCTAATCACATAATTTACACACAAGATCTGGGACATTTTTTCTCTAACATAGATCCCAGTGGCGTGAGTTTTGCTAGCACGTGTGTAATACTATAGTTAGGCTTAAGTCTCTGTTTAAATACCCAGCTTATTTATTTATTTTTTTAAAGCCGCTTACTTGGAGCGTTAATTCTACCTACACAAATATATCACATGTTGAATTTCGAACGGAATGTACAGTTCGAAAGATATCAAAAGGTTATTTGCACGTGTTTACAGTCTTTAAGAGATCGTGTTCGGGTGCACCGTCTCCAACTACTGAAATGTACCCAGCATTCTTAAAACCAACTCCGATTCTGTTGAATATAAGATGATTCTCACAGCGATGAGTGGCATCTGCACTAGAGGCACGCATGTTTAAAAAAATAAGTCTTAAATTTAGAAAAAGACCACACACACACACAAAACAATAATTTCAAATTGATTAAATAAATCTAAGACTGTTAAAAAAAAAAAATGAATTGATATTTAAATGTCTCTTTATATTTTAAAAAAAAATCGCTTCAGAGTGTATTTTTGTGTTTCTTGTTAGAGTTAGTTACCCCCTATGAAGATAAGCATGTAATTAGAAAAAAAAAAAAAAAAAATGAATTGATTTTTAAATGTCTCTTTATATTTTAAAAAAAAATCGCTTCAGAGTGTATTTTTGTGTTTCTTGTTAGAGTTAGTTACCCCCTATGAAGATAAGCATGTAATTAGAAAAAAAAAAAAAAAAAAACCCAACAACCTGATATAATACATTTATTTCTTAGTACTGATTTAATTATAATTATTGCTCTTTTTTTTCTTCATGTCGAAATTCTGAACTCAGCTCCAGCCCATTCCCTTTCGCCCTATTATGTTGCAACTTGTATCTGGTTACAGGCGAGGTTAGGCTTCGGAAAGCTGTGCGCCCGTGTAGATGCGGGACTGGTGTTTACGGTTGCTCCATCGCCGAGAGCCCCCGCGGGTGGAGGTTAGATCGTTCTCGTTGAAGTGGTGGTTGCCGACGTACATCTGGGCGAGGCTTCTGCGGAGTCGGTTGAGGAGAATGGATTTGTCTGGTGTGTCACGACGGTCCCTGATGGTTGTCATGGCTGAGAATGTGAAACATTAAAATGTATGTTTAAAAAAAAAATAATAATCGCGAAGGTAAACGTTATCAACAGGGTCAAGGTCATTAGGAAGCCGCCAGAGATAGCTGCTGAAGTCTAAAGATTGAATAGCTTAATCTCGACTCGAGATGGCGCCATGTGGCCAAAATACATAGAGATCAATTGAGACAAGAGATTCGCCCTGTGGCCAAAATACATAGAGATCACGTAGACATGAGATGCACCCTGTGGCCAAAAATACACAGATATCACATAGACATGAGATGCACCCTGTGGCCAAAATACATAGAGATCACGTAGACATGAGATTCACCCTGTGGCCAAAATACACAGATATCACATAGACATGAGATGCACCCTGTGGCCAAAATACACAGATATCACATAGACATGAGATGCACCCTGTGGCCAAAATACATAGAGATCACGTAGACATGAGATTCACCCTGTGGCCAAAATACATAGAGATCACTTAGACATGAGATGCACCCTGTGGACAAAATACATAGAGATCACGAAGACATGAGATTCACCCTGTGGCCAAAATACATAGAGATCACTTATATATGAGATGCACCCTGTGGCCAATACACATAGAGCACACTGGCACATGCTTTCATTTGATGTCACCTTACTTTTTAGGAGCTATCTGTACGCGACCATTTGCACGGAACGCAAATGCATAACACTTTTAATATGTTATGTAAACAGCGTTATCTCTTTAAATGGGTTTTCTGAAAATATTGGGCATAGCTTCAAGGCGGCATAGGAAGTAAAGATAACCCCCTAGTAAACATAACATGCGCCATCTGGATCTAAGAAACACAATATTTTGGCATCCAATTCTCAGGCAGGCCCTAAACTATAACAAGATTCTTGTGAAATATAATGTTACCCTCATGTTTTTGATTATTAAAGTATTACTTTTTTTAAACTTGAGTGTGTGTTTTTTTTTTTTTTTTTTTTTTTTTTTTTTTTTTTTGGGGGGNGTGAGATCATCTTCCTCTACGATAAAGGCATCAGAGGCGACAGACTGGACCAGGAAGGTGAAGGCCACGGCGAGAATAAGGCACGTTCTTAGGAAAGCCATTGCTGAAAGTAAACAAGAAAATAGCAAAAAAATAATACATAGGCCTATGTTATTATTATAACGTGTTGCTATTATGTCCTTTAAAGCAATCCATTGAAAGGACTTTTGTTTTTAAAAACAAGAGACATCGAAGTTTTGTAAGTACTTCAGTCAAAATAAAACGAATATTTTTTTTTAAAGAGTGACAGAAAGTCAAGGCATCTGTTATTATTACAATACACATTAATCGCATTTAAAGCTTTAGTTTAAATCTAAAAGTGTTTTTTTTTAATGCATACAAAAAAATATACAGGTATCGTACTTGTTCATATAAAGCCACGCACCAAATTACAACACGACCTGCCCGGAATAAAACCCATTTCATGTTTTAAAAAATAAATATTTTAAAAAAAAAAAACAACAACCTATGTTTAGGCCCCCCCCCCCCAACTTCTCTCTCTCTCTACCTTGCTCCCCTTCTCCCCCACTCCCGTTATATTTTCTCTTTCAATCTTCCTCCTGTCTCTCTGACGCTCTGAAAGTTCCTTTCCCGTTTTCTTTACCTTAAATTATGCCTATTTATTTTTGGTCGGAAAAAAAAATTAATTAATATTACAATGGCAATTGTTTGAGAATAAACAGTGAATAAATAAGGGGAAAAAATATGTTTGAAATACCTGTCTAGTTGAATGAATACCCAACCGTGGGTCGGCTTGGTGCGAGAAAAACTTGAAACGTTTCAGTCAGACGAGGAATCGACGGATCGGGTCTTCAGGGTGCAACGTCAGAAGGTGAGAGAAGAGCAGCAGCGATCGGCTGTCCCCCGTCCTACTCCTTTTATAGCACACTGGAGTCAGATCGGGGGTCGGGCTACTGGCGATCATTTCACGCCGGCTTCAGCTTAAGGGATTTGAAATGGGGGGTGGGGTGAGGGGGGGGGGAAACCTGGGTAGGGCTGGGACCTATTTTTGCCGAACAGCTGATTTGTTCGAGACCGCATGTGACAAGAATTCTTGAGCTATTCCAGATGGGGAGGGGGGGGGGTATTAACTAGCGGCACTAGCAAGAGAATGGGGTGTGGATGGGAGGGAGGGGCATTCAGCCCCCACCCCCTTCGGAACCTTTTTAAAAATATACATTGAGGGGCAGTTTATTCGGCCAACTTAGGAGTTGTTCGTCTTTCATAGAAGCCAGGGTCACAAATACAACATGGGGGCTAGTCTACTTTAGACATATACAGACTGTGGGTCAGTGCTACTTTAGCCATATACAGCCTGGGGACTAGTGCTACATTAGACATACACAGCCTAGGGGTTTGTGCTACTTTTGACATATATAGCCTGGGATCTAGTGTTATTTTAGACATATACAACATGGACGCTAGTGCTACTTTAGACATATACAGGCTCGGGGCTAGTGTTACTTTAGACATATACAGCCTGGGGGCTTGTGCTACTTTAGACATATACAACATGGGGTCACATAATCTGTCTTTGACATAGACGATCTGGGGTCACATCTGTCTTCAACACATACAAACTGGAGTCATCAACATCATCAACAAAACGGTGCAAAGGGCAAAAGGACGATGATGACAGAAAGTGTTGCACTAATTGATTGAAAGAAAAAGAAAATAATGACAATGATGTATGGTTCCGATAACGTGATGTTTTTAAAGTGCTTTTTGAAAGGTTTGGTTCGCTCTTCTGTCCCCTGAGCCGGTGGCAATGAGGTGGAGTAGCCAGAGTTAGTGGCGCCCGGCCCGGTGCTTGACTTTGCCGCCCCTTACTGACGCGAAATTCTAAGAGTACAGAATACATATAAAAAATAATCTTTATAATCATATACATTTTAAGCAGTGGACCGAAAATGCCGCTATGCGTACCCGGGTCCCTTTAAGCTAAATCCCATTGCGATGTCATTTGTGGCAGTTTATTGTAGTTAAACCGAAGAAGTCAGTTTACAAACACATATATTTATATCTTTCATTTGATACCTCATTTTTGTCTTACAAACCCAAACAATAAAATTTTAAGTAGTTTTTTAATCCCAACTTCTCTCTTCTGCTACCCTGGTATGAATAGCCAAAGAAAAAAGAAAGGGCTTTGAGAACATTGAAACAGCACACGCACAACTGCCGGCACACATTCAGTTAGCAACGACTCCAGTCTGGCACGGCAACAGGGTTAATTAAGCAGAGGATATCCGAGGGTTGGGGGTCTAGCCTGGGGGTCGAAGTGTTGGGGTCTAGGGGGTTGGGGTATAGGTTTGGGGTCGAGAGTCGGGTCGAACGGTTGGGGGGGGGGGTCTAGTGATGAGGTAGCGAGGTGAGTTTCGGCGGTCGGGTCAAGGGGGCTGTCGGGGGGGTGAGGTTAAAGGTTGAGTATGAGGGCTTAAGGTTGGGGGGGGGGGGGGTCTAGGGATGAGGTAGCGAGGTGAGTTTCGGCGGTCGGGTCAAGGGGGCTGTCGAGGGGGTGAGGTTAAAGGTTGAGTATGAGGGCTTAAGGTCAAGGGATTGGGTCATGGGTTTGGGTCGATGGGGAATGTACAAATGGCAGGATGTACATAAATAATAATGATACATTTTTAAAAAAATGCTATTGGAGCTGTCATTGTGTTGGGGGAGAGGGGGGGGGGGCGTCTGCTCCTTTCTCGAGGCTGGATTTGTAGATCCATTCAATGACCTAGACTGAGAGTCGTAACATTTGAACAATCTTTTTTTAAATATATTTTTAGTGAGTATCCTCACTATGTACTAACTAAACACTTGGACACGTTTAATTTTTGAAAGCTTCATTTAAAACATAAAAAATAAAGAAAAGATGTATACATGTCTAATTTTTTTAATTTTTTTACTATTCATTAGTTAGCAGTGTCGAGAAATTCACAAACAATCCGATGTGGCCAGTGTTAAAAACTAAGATGTCATATGTGATATGATGAATGATGTTTGCACGGGGGAACGGCGGATAAGGGGAACGTGTTAATAGGTTTGTCTGACACAATGTTCAACACCGCCGTGTTGTTTTAACACGCCAAGGGGCATCGTTAATTTTATGATCAGCTGACGTGTTTGAGGAGCCATAGATTTGTTGTTTTTTTTTGTTTGTTTTTCTTAAATTTAAGTTATATAATGACGTTTTCAATGTCACTTGCGTGTCCTTGACATTAGTGTCTGGATGCGCTCTGCTTATCCCCCCATGTCTGAGCGAATTAGTCATCAGTGGCAGAGATTTTATTTTGCTAGCTAACGGAGGTCTCTTACTTGTTAAGAAAAAAAAAATAAGTCATGTATTTAAAACTTTATTGGACACGTTTTCCACATGTTTTCCCCAAGACCCTCCATTATTTTATTTGGCTAACAAATGTAAGAAAAAAATGCGTTTTTATGCATTTTTAAAAAAAAATATCTGGGCGTAAAGTAAATTTAGATGGGAAAAATCCCCTCAGCGACGGCCTTAACATGACCACCTGTTAGTCACGCTTCTGCTGAGAAGAAATATAGGCTACCTGGTAGCTTGACTAAAAGGGGTACAGCTTACCATTAAAGGACAAAAGTGTGGGGGTGGGGGGGGGCTGGGTTAGCTTCATCAGCAGATTATTTGGACTGATAAGTTAACTTTCTCAAACAATGAAGTTTCAAAAGAATTTTCATCAGGGGCCTGCCAGCAGCGTGGTTGCAACCTCCCCCCCCCCTTTTTTTTTTGGCCAAAAAATGGGTCATTGGTGCGTAATACACATAGGGCATCTTTAACTGGAGTAAATGGTTTAAATAGGTCATGATTAGCTCAACACGCTTATTGGTAGACTAAGCACGTGCTTGGCGATGCCCAACAAAGATGCACAATACACACCTAGAACTTTGGCAGTCTTTAAGAAATCATTTCAGCCTGGTGAAATAGATAGGACAAGTAACGGTTTATTTGATTTTTTTATCCAAAACGGGGCAGACTGTCAAACCGACCGAAACGCCGAGACACCTTTCCTCAACCGGGATACCTTTGCTCAACCGGGACATCTTTCCTCAACCGGGACACCTTTCCTCAACCGGGACGATATCCGTAAAACAAGGACTTTTAAGCTTGGCCTGTAAATATGTGTTTTACCAATTCCAGAAAATACAGTACAATGGCATGGACACACTGTTGTTAAGTTTTCCTATGCAAACTCATATCTCGCAACCCAATGCTGTTTGAAAGAGATAAGGGGAACGTTCGCAAATTACGTCACGCAAAAAATGACCTTTTTAGACCCCCTCCCCCTTATCACAAAGTGTCACAAATTCTTCAACCACCCCCTCTTAGTGTCACGTCACGCCTAAAAAAAAACCCCCAAAATATTCATAAAATTGTCATAACTAAACTAATATTTTATTTTTTAAAAATATTTTCCCATAATGGATTAAGACGTAGTATTATTAGAAAGAAAACTGTGACGCGAAACAACGGTAAAAAAGGGCCACAACAGTTTTTGCGTCATTTTTCGATATGCGCAGAATGGTAAATAAATTGAATAAAGATTTTTCAAAATTAGAAAATTTAAGATTTAAAAAAAAAATTAAAAAAATCGTTACGTCACAAATTTTTTGCCCCCCTCACCCCCACCATGAGCGTAACGTAATTTGCGAAAAAAACCCCAAAGGGGGTTTAAGATTTTCTTTACAATTTACGAGGATAACAATATCTTTATTAAAAAAAAACCAAAAAAAAAACATTTTATTTTACAGATGTGAAAATTTTATCTTAAAAACAAATATATATATATATTTTTTTGTTCCTATACCAAAAATACATTTCAGGGTCGGGGACACACTGTGAGTTCATTTATACAAGGAGATACCAATATCTTAAAATCCGGGCATGTTGAGAAAGGGGAAAATAGGGGATAAGATTTTCTTTAAAAAATAAAGAAATATTTGTCTCTTTGTTAAACGGATCCTTCTTCGCAATTCTGTAATTATATGATTTTCCGAACATATAGTTTAGAAGCGAGGCAAAAGAGTGGACAAATCTTTTAGGAAGACACTAATATCTCAAATTAAATATATATATATATATATATATATATATATATATATATATATATAATATTGAGAAAATATATTTTTTAAAAAAATATTTATCAAAATTATCTTTTCTGCAAAGTGTGGAAAATTTTGGACACACATTTATTATATAGATTAGAAGCGAGGCAAAAGAGAGGACAAATCTTTTATAAAGACACAAATATCTCAAAATAAATATATATATATATATATATATATATATATATATATATATATATAATATTGAGGAAATATAATTTTTAAAAAAATGTTTATCAAAATTATCGTTTCTGCAAAGTGTGGAAAAATTTGGACACCCATTTATTAAAATTCAATGATTTTACAATTGTTGACATGTCATTTTTGTATAAAGATACCTATTTAAAAATAAGCAAAGTCTGAGGGCGGGAAAAGGTCATATATTTATTTAGAGGATATAATATATCAAAACTCGATTAAGTGTCAGGCGTAAACTTTGGGTTTTAGATGTTAAGTTTCTCTGTTCAAATGTATTTAAAAATTATAATTGCAAAAAATAACGAAACATACACAAACAAGACGTCGCCCTAGCAGGTATATGGTAGCGCAATATGCCTCCCATTTCCACCCGGGTGACACCGGGTCAAATCTTCTAGTATATTAATAAATATATTTCGATAATGTCACCACGCCACAGTTCCTTCACGCTACAGTTGACTCCCAAGTGTCTGAAGAAA